TCGTCACGCGAGTCTGTCAATTGATAAACTGTGTTATCTTCGCTCACACAGTCGGGTGCTCAATACGCCATGTTGACTTTCCATTTTTGATGATGCCACAGCAATTTCGCTTATTTAAAAAAATGTAAATGGCTCCGCAATGAGTTTCCTCCGTTAGCCTGCTCCAGGGCACGGGGAAGAGATCTGCTGTGGAGACGATGTTAAAGAACATACTCATTTTTCGCCATATTTGTATAGCACATGGACTCCTAACAGATTGGTAACATTCTGGCTTATATAGAAATCGTTCAGCTCTTCGCTGTGATTTATCGACATTCTACAGAGCATAAAGATGGTTCTATACATCCACGGAGGGGAAAATCGTACATAAAAGCCCTAATTGAAGCGAAGCTTTATAAAAAATTCAGCAATCAATAACAGGGGCTAGACCGGTAGCAGCTTCATCGTCCTCCCATCTAGATATTCATACGATGGGACTCTTAAACTTCACAAGTACATGTGGTCTTTTTGTCGACTTTACAATCACGTTTCATACCACCGTTGACTGCATAACGAAATGCTTCAGCAACCCATGCTTGCCGTAAAAGGCAACTATACTTGTCGTAAGAGGCGACTAACGGGATCGGGTGATCAGACTCGCTGACTTGGTTGATGCATGTCATCGTAACCAATTGCGTGGATCGATGCTCATGATGTCAATCACTGGATTATCTGGTCCAGACTCGAATATTTACAGACCACCGTCATATGGTTGGAATATTGATGAGTACGGCGTTAAACAAAAAATAAATCATAACGTAATGGTTTAATACGTCCGAATACATGTCGCTGACCACAAGTAAATCCAGTCAAGTCGATCCAGTTACACGGGTACACATCCAGGGACCCAGTCGGTGTACTAAAATCAGTATATTCAAGAAAACAGTTTGCCATAAAAACATTAAAACAAAGTCAAGATAGAATATAAATGAATTACAGTTTTGGTTTGTTTGAATCTGTTGTCTGCAGAAGTTTAATGATACTTAAGCCATGGGGGTGGTATCACAATCTACACCGACTATTTAGATGTACAATGTGATGTACAATGTAATGAAACGTATATCTTTCTTGTAAAAGATTAGACACAACTATCGAATGGGATAACATTGTACTATATGCACGTGAACCGTGTTACCGGTATCAATCGATCGACCGTTCGTTCGTGAGTGAGTTAGTTATGCCGAGAACACGACCATCCATATTACGTACATAGAAAACGTGAGTGCACATTTGATAAACCGATTTATTCAGTTAATCTAAAAGGTTTCACGCTGTGACTGATACATTCGTACTATGTCAAAGGTTGGTACAGTTTTCCCTCAGTCAAATGCCAATCAGTGGATGATAAAACACATCTTCAATGACAGCAGTAAAAGCATCATTACTTGAATCTGATCACCCATTGCAACATCGTCGACAACGATCAAACTCGGTCGACGGGCTAGCCTAATAGATGAGATATTTATTCCACAGTTTGAAAACATCCTTTCAACAAAATGCATTAACACGGCGTTAATAGGTGCTTTTGATCTGTCAAATTATTAATAGTTATTCCAGTAATTCTTATTTCCATAATCGAATGTTTTCTCCCAAAGTAAATTGAGTACAACACGTCAAATCGTTTACCGACAGCTTTTGTTGGTTTCAATAAGATTTCACAGACAACATGAATAACACAAAAAAACGATAATAGCAGCTGAGCGGCGTGTCGACACACGTTAGCTGTGGCCGCACCAGGGGATGGCACTGGAAGGAATCGGTAACAGGCGAGAAATACAATTGAGAACATCAAAGGGAAACTCACAGAGCCGCCACGTGGCGAGGCCGTGGTCACGTGGGGAGTATGTAAGATATGTCCTATGTAGGAGGTCGCTAAGGTAAATAGTTCGTGTGATTCTCGTCACGAAGAAAGGTCGGGTGGTGGAGAGGGGGAGAAAGAGGGGTGGGGTGGTGGTGGCTGGGGTGCACCTCACTTCAAGTGAACAAAAAAACCAAGGGAAATTGACAATAATCTCGTGTCAGCTAATTCTCTCACAGCTCACTGACAAGGAACGTCGAGGGGGCGTCAAATAACGTGTGTACCAGCTGAAAGTTTGTTTGTTGTTTAACGCCGCACTCACTAATATTCCAGCGATATGACGGCGTTTGTAAATAATCGAGTGTGGACCAGACAATCCAGTGATTGACATCATGAGCATCGATTCCCGCGATTGGGATACGATGACAAGCATCAACCAAGTCAGCGAGCCTGACCACCCGGTCCCGTTAGTCGCCTCTTACCACAAGCATAGTCGCCTTTTACGGCAAGAATATAGGTTGCTGAGGACCTATTCTAACCCACCGGGTCGGCTGGGCTGGTACTGTATATATAGGCAGGTTGTTTTTTTAACTTCTTATCCTCTTTTAATTTTAATTTTCAATTGCGTAAGTCTTCAATACCATGCACCGTCATCAGTGTAGTGAGTGAGTGAGTGAGTTGGGTTTAACGCCGCTTTTAACAGCATTACAGTTACATCACGGCGTGTCAGCCTTACGTGGGAGGAAAGACCAAAGTGATGCAGGTCTCAGACGTTTACCACTTTGGTGAAACCCGCGATCACAGGTATGGTGCTGACAAACCCAGAAAGATAATCGGGGCAAACCGGGATTCGAACCTCAATCATTGGTTTCTGGCGTGCCCAAAGGACGCAACTCTGCACAGCGAACTGTGGCGCCTTCGACGATTAAGACCCCATCCCCCACCCCGTCATCATTGGAAGTTAATTACCGTTTGACACCTTCTAAACAATGAACGACGTCATTTTGTATTAATATTAACAATATGAACAATATCTTGGTTTTGACTGCCCAGTCAGTGTTGAGAATCGTTAAGCCTCGTCAACACGAGGTTCTGAGAGTTGACCACAGACCTGGTGGCCATCTGCCCTGAACCGTAATTATCTGTCCCAGTGGTCTAAAACGGGGTGCAGAGTTGTGTCCCTTAGTAGTAAAAGGATCCGATGATCGTGAGTGCGGACATTACGCTAACAATCACATTTCATTAAAAATCTAACTGAAATGTCCAGTATCAATGAGGCCATCTGCATGCGAGTCAATATAGTTGTACGCCATTTTTAGCAATACTCCGCAATATCACGGCAGTGGACACCAGAAATGCATGGGCTTCACACATTGTACACATGTGGAGAATCGAACCCTGGCCTTTGGCGTCACGAGTGAACGCTTTAACCACTAGGCCACCCCAGATCGACATGTAGTTGCCACTGTGTATTATGTACAGGAGAATTACGTTGTTTATTTTCATGTTAATTGCTATTCTGCGTCAACAGATTTAACGGGTGAAGATCCGGGTTAGAATAGGTCTTCAACATCCCATGCTTGTCATAAAAGGCGACAAACGGGATCGGGTGGTCAGGCTCACTGACTTGGTTGATGCATGATAGTATCCGAATTGCGTATATCGATGTTCATGATGCTAATCACTGGATTGTTTGGTCCGGACACGATTATTTACAGACCGCCGTTGAAAAGCTGGAATATTGCTGAGTGCGGCGTCAAACAACAAACAAACAAACAAAATAAACAACAGATTAAAGAACACAGTACAAAGAATCCCAGATTGTCCTTGCTACTGATTCTTATATGGTCAGCACCATGCCGGTGTGGTCGGCTGCCACGATGTGGTAAATGTCTTAGACGTTGGTTTCCATGGGAGTCCCTCCCACGCCGTGACGTAACTGTAACACTGCTCACGGCGATGTTCAACTCTCTGTTAAATACTCAACATTGTGTCCTCACGGTCACCATTTCTCAGTTCCAAACGAGCATGGGTACTCGGGGTCAATACTTGTTCCAAGTAGCCATGTTCAGGGCGCTTGACTCGAGTACAAACGTGGCGGACTTCGGCTGTACGGTGAGTGAGTATGGTTTTACGCCGCTTTAGGCAATATACCAGCAATATCAGGGCGGGGTACAACAGAAAATAGGCTTCACACATTTTTCGCACCTCGGGAATCAAACCCGGTTCTTCGGCGTGACGAACGAACGCTTTAACCATTAGGCTACCCGACCTCCCCTCCAACATCTGAATAGTAAGAACTTTCGGAAACGCCATTTTTAGAGTGATTTAGTGTGTATGGTTTTACGCCGCTTTTAGCAATATTCCAGCAATATCATGGCGGGGACACCAGAAATGGGCTTCACACATATTGCCCAAGTAGGGAATCGAACCCGGGTTTTCGGCGTGACGAGCGAAAGTTTTAACAACTAGGCTTCCCCTCCCCCCATTTTTGAAGTAAAGATACGCAGAGGCAAAGATTCAAAGAAACTTACTTTATTTATAGTGACAGGCGATATCACATGGTGAATATAACAAATTTGCCCACATGTCTAAGGCTATTCAGTATCAACCAAACGATCGACATGACTGACATGTATTGTCATGAGTAGAGGTCGTGAATTTCACAGGGGCATCAAGCGGGCTTGCTAAGAGGCAAGAAGAAAGACTTTCATTACAGATCGAATTTGTTTTGCATTTAATGTGAATCCCGACGCGTCTAAAAGTGTACATTGCACACAAAATACGCCATCACTTAAATTTAACCCATCAGAATTTCTATAGGGTATGCATCGACGAAACATCATTACGTTGTTAGACTGGGCTGTCGCGGTTCTATTCAACCGCGATGTTGCCTCTGGTGATTTTGTGTTGATTATGTGCAGTAATTAGCACGGAGGTCGAGTCTGTGTCGACTGCGCGATGCATGCACATCGCTCTAAAATATCCCATTGTTATGATTATATGGCCCCTAATGGATGATAACCCGTTTGTTAGCGAGCTGTACCAGTAAGTATGCTAGTCCCTAGACAACATATACTCGGTGTAAAGAGATTAGTCGCTTTCAAAGACTTAGTACAGGATTGAGTAATGAAGGCAAATCGTCTAGTGCCAGAAATAGCTAGAAAGGCATGAGTCGGGTCCGCTTGCGGCAAGTCGTCGGTCTCTCTTATTGATGGGAGCATCCCTCCGCTCTGAATCACTACGAACACATTCAATATTCACTGGAGCTCGCCTCGTCGAACCGGCTACACATCAAACCATAGCGCACCGCGCGCATTTCAGTGTCAAACGTACTGTCTTGTCACGGTGGAACCGCGGAAGTCTTCAAAGTCGGCACCCGCTGCCTGAGAAGACCAATCAAAGCTCGTGGTTGTCTATTTGGTGCGAAAGTGCACGCGCCGTCATGGAGGTCAGGGGTTAAAAAATCACGTGACTGCTGGGGTACGGAAGTGTTTGAATGGTGGTGGAACGAAGATTTGCAAACTTTCGATGTTATGTGCAGACTGGGTGTCTGGTCCTGGGTTAATTACAATCATTGATCGCTCGTGCACTAGAAATGGCTTTGATTGACGAGTAATTTCCGTGGTTCGTTGCGGAGGATTAGTTCTAACGGCAGTGAGTGGAAAGGTAGCTATCGGCGACCCTCGTGTGAGTGAGAAGTTTTTATCGTGATCAAAGTGAGTTAGTGCTAGGCTTCCCCGTCTGCCTCCAAAGTAGAAGATCTGCTACACATGCCGTGAAACACGGCGCTCCCTGCACGTGAGGGGGTTAGCAGCTCGTGGCGCGGGGGAGATACCGTCTGCCTAGTCGCTGGATAACATGCCGACTTGAGGGTAGCGAGAAGTTGTGGCAATTCGAATTTCGCAATCAAGGTTTCAAGTTTCGCACGGAAAGGAAGATTTGCTTCAGACTTCTCTGAGAATGTGTGATGGTTCCTTGTGTGACGTGTATGTTTGGACCTAGCGCCAGCACGACACACGAGCCACGAGTACGGGGGGAGAGGGGGACTTTTGACAGCTCGTTCTTTGACAGTTGGGAGACTGTGTTTACAATACAATGCCATCGAAAAAGCAATACGATTTAGTCTCCGACGACGGGTACGACAGTCGGATCCCCCTCCACAACGACGATGCTTTTGAGCACGGGATTCCTTTCTCCGCCAAGGTGAGTTGCATTGTATTGTATTACATGTTTGGCACAGAACACCATGTTTATTGCGAATCCCGAACGGGAATTCCAGGCTGCCTGGGGACCATCTCAAAACTCGCTCGCTGTTTATTGCCGACAGCTGCCGAGATGATTATAACGTTGTGTAAGTTATGTTTGACGTTTCTCAGCCGGAGCGGGCTTACATGGGATTCTATGGGATTCTGTGCTTGTTTTGTGTACTCGGGGAGAACCTGTGGACAGATCTAGTTTGTGAACATAGCGAAACATCCTTCCTGACGACAGTGTGAAATGTATTTTATTAGGAACTATATGTACTGGTATATGTTTTCGAAACAAATACTTTGATCTGTAGAATGTTCAAATGTTCATTGTGGAAAAAACTCTTTTATACCCTAACATCCAGGGCCCTTTTGATACAACAGTGATTTTACCAGGTATCAAATGACAAGTTTGATACAATATTACCTGGTATGCTATGAATGGTATGATATATTACCACTATCCAATGACCAGGATGATACAATGATATTACCCATTATCCAATGATGGTATGACACAACATTGATATTATCTAGTATTCAGTGATTATGTGATACAACAAAGGTATCACCTGGTATTGAATAACAGTTGTCATTGTTTCTATTGTCCCCCATTCAGTCATGCTTGACAACGGTATAAGGATCTATACCGAAACGTCGCTTTTTACAGTATTAAAGAAGTTGTTATCCATAAAATTGTGTCTACCTTATTATTTCTAAAGTATCAGTATTCCCAGAAAATGTGATACCCGGAATATGGTAAGGAATAATGGAATGGCTCCGTACTAAATTATTATGATTTCAAGTTTCAAAGCAGATAAATGAAAGTTGTCACATGTTTGAAATGTAATGAAGTCTTTAGATGTATTGGAATACAACCAGGTGGTTTAGTCTGCTTGCCTCCCTGGGTAGGGTGGGAAAGGGGGGGGGGGGGGAAAGGGGGGGGGGGGGGGGGGCGTCTGCTTGACCCCCTTGGGGAAGGGTCTGCATGACCCCTGGACAGACAGACTTGATGAGTGTGTTACTGAGATAAACTCCGCTGTTGTGTCAACGAGTTAACATGTGAACAGGTTATCAAGTGTTGAGCAATCGGCCATATCGCGCTGTCTGACAGCAACACCAGACCAGCGCCCACTACAGCGTGTCTAGCTGCTCTTATAATGTCTCCGGAGAAAATACAAACAACTTATACAATCTTCATGTTTGAACAACATTGACAGCTGATGATCTTCGTGTGTGAATGTCACAGGGTGTTTTTTGTTGGAGTTAGAGCTCGAGGTGCACTACATTACCGGTATACATTGTATCACAACTTAAAGTACTAATGAATATGTATTACAATACTTTTGGAAACTACTGATATATAGTTTTTTTTAAATCATGCATTTTTTCAGATAATTTTCATGTTGTTGGCAACGTTTACATCACTGCTAAGTCTCCCGCCAGAGGGCAAATCTAATATATAAACATGTGGACATGTTAATCTTTTTAAAGAAAATCTGAAATGAACATTTTTGACTTTACATTTTATTGTTGGCCTACTGTTGGCTGTTGAGAGTGTTGACTCTAGTGTTCAGTCTGATGATTCTGTCCGGGAATTTTCAGTACAGAATTAATGAAAACTTCAAGTCATTTGGGGTATTGTTATTTAAGTTTATAACAAATTACAGATGAAAGAACGCATGCATTATATCGTGGTATGTGTTGCAATACATTCATAATTATTGCAATATATTGCGAAATGAAAATCAGGCAAATACCTGTCACAAGCCAGAGTGGAGGTTTTTCCCCAGATAATTTGATACCCAAGTGTTATGATGGAAATCAGAAAAGAAAAAAATAGAAAAGTAATTTGTTTGAGGAACGATGTTGTCAAATGCCACTGTGAAGAGAAAACTTGTGTTCTACAGTCTCGATGTTCCTTCCTTATAAGGGTCTCAGACATGTGCAAACGCAAGATTATGTTTGACACCAGACTCTATTGAAACCGGCATCGACCTGTATCCATGGAACTGGTCTCTCACAATGGTTGCCACAACAACAAAAATTTACTGACATTTTTTAATCATTAAATTCTGCTGTAAACATACAGGGAAAAAAAATTAAAATTTTGTCAATTTTTATAATTTGGATTTTCAATTAAAAATGCATAAGAATTTTCACAGTAGGGAACTCAAAACATATCATTGCTGTAATTCCAATGTTAGAAGCCTGACAGAGGGTATTGGGATGGTATGATATTGTTATGAGGTTCAAGTTGAGGGGTGGGGAATGTATGGTGGACTATTGTTACCCCAAGATTAAAGGTTAGGAAGGGGAGGGAGGGGTGGGGGGAGTGTTAGTTTCCCCCAAAACACCCTCGTCTCCAGGAGTAGAGAGATCTGTTGCTGATATAAATCCAGGTGTAATGTGAGAGATGAAAGCCACCGACTCCGTTATTCTGACATACAGGCTATCTGCCGTGTCCGGCTACCATCATTACAGTCAGGAGGGAGATAAATCTGGACAAAGTGTTAAACCACAAGAATACAGAATGTGTAACAGTTGTTGACTCCGTGAGTGGCGAACCTCCAACATCGCTCCAGTACCAGTGATGTTGTGGTGGGCTTTGGGTAGCTGTTACTGCTGCTGCAACGATGCTATTGTCATCACTGTAGCTGAGGTTGGTAGATAAGAGTTAATGGCTATCGGTGCTGAATCCTGCAGATGGACGTAGCTCAGTTTCCACACAGTAGACCAGTATCAGCTCTCCACGGAGGACGATCAGATGCAGACAGGAGCAACAAATGCTGCCAGATGACTTTTTGCCATTACTTCTAAATGAGGCTTCATTCCTGTCATACATCTGTCTGTGGGCCTGGGAATGTTGGAGAGCTATGTCAACAGTGTACAGTGGAGGGTGTCCACTATGTACAGGTGCAGGGTGTCCACTATGTGCAGGTGTAGGGTGTCCACTATGTACAGGTGTAGGGTGTCCACTATGTACAGGTGTAGTGTGTCCACTATGTGCAGGTGTAGTGTGTCCACTATGTACAGGTGTAGGGTGTCCACTATGTACAGGTGTAGTGTGTCCACTATGTGCAGGTGTAGGGTGTCCACTATGTACAAATGTAGGTTGTCCACTATGTACAGGTGTAGGGTGTCCACTATGTGCTGGTGTAGGGTGTCAACTATGTACAGGTGAAGGGTGTCCACTATGTACAGGTGTAGGGTGTCCACTATGTGCAGGTGTAGGGTGTCAACTATGTACAGGTGAAGAGTGTCCACTATGTACAGGTGTAGGGTGTCCACTATGTGCAGGTGTAGGGTGTCCACTATGTACAGGTGCAGGGAGTCCCCTATGTACAGGTGCAGGGAGTCCACTATGTGCAGGTGTAGGGTGTCCACTATGTGCAGGTGTAGGGTGTCAACTATGTACAAATGTAGGATGTCCACTATGTACAGGTGTAGGGTGTCCACTATGTGCAGGTGTAGGGTGTCCACTATGTACAGGTGAAGGATGTCCACTATGTACAGGTGTAGGGTGTCCACTATGTGTAGGTGTAGGGTGTCCACTATGTACAAATGTAGGGTGTCCACTATGTACAGATGAAGGGTGTCCACTATGTACAGTGTAAGATGTCCACTATGTGCAGGTGTAGGGTGTCCACTATGTGCAGGTGTAGGGTGTCCACTATGTGCAGGTGTAGGGTGTCCACTATGTTCAGTGCAGGGAGTCCACTATATGCAGGTGTAGGGTGTCCACTATGTGCAGGTGTAGGGTGTCCACTATGTTCAGTGCAGAGAGTCCACTATATGCAGGTGTAGGGTGTCCACTATGTGCAGGTGTAGGGAGTCCACTATGTGCTGGTGTAGGGTGTCCACTATGTGCAGGTGAAAGGTGTCCACTATGTGCAGGTGTAGGGGGTCCACTATGTGCAGGTGAAAGGTGTCCACTATGTGAAGGTGTAGGGTGTCCACTATGTACAGGTGCAGGGAGTCCCCTATGTACAGGTGCAGGGAGTCCACTATGTGCAGGTGTAGGGTGTCCACTATGTGCAGGTGTAGGGTGTCAACTATGTACAAATGTAGGATGTCCACTATGTACAGGTGTAGGGTGTCCACTATGTGCAGGTGTAGGGTGTCCACTATGTGCAGGTGTAGGGTGTCCACTATGTTCAGTGCAGGGAGTCCACTATATGCAGGTGTAGGGTGTCCACTATGTGCAGGTGTAGGGTGTCCACTATGTTCAGTGCAGGGAGTCCACTATATGCAGGTGTAGGGTGTCCACTATGTGCAGGTGTAGGGAGTCTACTATGTGCTGGTGTAGGGTGTCCACTATGTGCAGGTGAAAGGTGTCCACTATGTGCAGGTGTAGGGGGTCCACTATGTGCAGGTGAAAGGTGTCCACTATGTGAAGGTGTAGGGTGTCCACTATGTACAAATGTAGGGTGTCCACTATGTACAGGTGAAGGGTGTCCACTATGTGCAGGTGTAGGGTGTCCACTATGTGCAGGTGTAGGGTGTCCACTATGTGCAGGTGTAGGGTGTCCACTATGTGCAGGTGTAGGGTGTCAACTATGTGCAGGTGTAGGGTGTCCACTATGTGCAGGTGTAGGGTGTCCACTATATGCAGGTGTAGGGTGTACACTATGTGCAGGTGTAGGGTGTCCACTATGTACAAATGTAGGGTGTCCACTATGTACAGGTGAAGGGTGTCCACTATGTGCAGGTGTAGGGTGTCCACTATGTGCAGGTGTAGGGTGTCCACTATATGCAGGTGTAGGGTGTACACTATGTGCAGGTGTAGGGTGTCCACTATGTACAAATGTAGGGTGTCCACTATGTACAGGTGAAGGGTGTCCACTATGTGCAGGTGTAGGGTGTCCACTATGTGCAGGTGTAGGGTGTCCACTATGTGCAGGTGTAGGGTGTCCACTATGTGCAGGTGTAGGGTGTCCACTATGTGCAGGTGTA